GGAGGGGTTTCAAAGTTCTGGGAGCTATAGCATAAGTGAAAAATGCATTGGTGGAGGCTGGAGAATAGGGAGGGAGCGAAGGTATGTACAGCCCTGGAGGCTGTGTGAAGGGTTGGTACTTTGTCTTAAATGCAATGGGGAAGACTTTTAAGAACATGATTGGGTTATGAGAGTTGCGTTTGTAATAATCTGTTCTGGTCATAGAGTAGAAGCTTGAAACTCAAAAGTAGGAAGCAGAAATGGCATGCTGGTACAAAGAAACAAGTTTGTTGTGAATAGAATGTGAGATTAAGGGGCAATGTAAAGTTTAAGAATTCATTCTAGAAAAATAATGACATCTTCCAGACATACATGGCGTACTCCAAACTCCACGTCACAATCTGTGCTCACCTCAGATCCCTATCAACATATCAGTTTTAGCTACAGCCTCAAAAAGGGTTAGCAACTATGCAAAGCACAGCCAAGCAAACATCTTGGCTGTTTTTATCCTCTCCCATGTTATGGGAAAACAATCCTAATAAAGAAAAAAAATCAACTCTTTCACATACTTCCCAGAGAACACATGTCTAATTTAAAAATGTATACATGCTTCCTAAAACCACTGGCCCCTCTGGCACCAGCTGCTAGGGTTATAATGGTGCATCAAATGAGGGGAATCAATTTTACACAGGCGAGTAAAGATATAATATTTCAAGCCGAGCCTTGGAATTAAGTGAATTTACATGCATGTCGTAGTGGAAAGCATATGGAATGTAATTTCAAAGGACATGAGGTCAAGTTTTACTCAACTACTTACAAGTTCTGTGATTTTGGGAAATTTATTAAATTTCTTTACCTTCTAGTTCTCCACATGTAAAACACATAACAACATTATCCACCTCACAGAGATGTCGTGAACATGAAATGAGTATGTTATGTGCAGAATAACTTTTCAATACCATTATTTTAAGCACTGCACTTCCAAAAATGTAATTGGGTTTCCTCCAAATACAAGTCTATTAAAAATAGAAATTATTCAAATAATTGCCTTTTCTTTAACACTTTAATGCAATTGAACATGTTAATCTATCTCAGTAATTGGAGTATTTTGAATAGTTCTCTGCATCGAAAAAATAAAAGTACCAAAAACTACTAAAGAATGTGGTTAGTACATTTTAATATTTTAAAAGTACTAGATGTTGGGAAAATAAAGATATGTGAAATGAACAAAAAAACTTCATTTCTAAAGAATAAGACTATTTAACCCCAAAATCAAACAACACACCTTGTAAACATAATAATTATCTAGTTTAAGTTTTACAAAAAATGTTCTGGACACCCCAGCTCTATCGCTTACTTATGTCATTGTAGAAAAGCCCCTTGAAGTCTTCAAATTACAAGTATTTTACATATAAAATAGAGATAATTTAACCATAATTCATATTCTCATAGAAGAGTCCAATAAAATTGTACCTGTAAAGCACTTTGACACAGTGCCTGCGCAAATAGGTATTAAATAATTACCAGGCATTGTCATTGTTTTTGTCCCAACACCTAAAATGTGTTTTAGATCTTTTGCTTAGAAAATATCTGGAGTTTTCATCTCACATATTTTCAAACAGATTAAATGAATCCTCTCCTGCTTACCTTTACTTCTAATTGTACAAGACCCTAACCCCTATTTCCTCTACTTCTTCCCCAGACCCTAGCTCTATCACAATGTCTCATGTGAAAGGTTGCTAATGATTTGAACAATGCTAAACCCCATGGACAGTGCATCTTCATCTTGAATCTATTAGGAAAAGTTTTTGCTGTTGAGTCCTCCTTCCCACTTGAAATAATTTCATACCATATCTTCCATGCATTGCTTTCTCTTAGTTTTTCTCCTCCTTCACTGGCCACTGCCTCCTAACCTTTGCAGATAACACTTCAGGGCACACCCTTTACAGTTGGCCTTTTTTAAGATGGCCTTCAGAGTCTTTCGTGCTCAGGCCTTGAATCTCTTCCCTTTTCCATGTGCACTCATGCCTTTAGTGACCTCAAAATGTCTTGTGGCTTTTAATACATCTACCTTCTGACAATGATCAAGTATAAATTGTCAGCCTGGAGTTCTCTGAATGCCAGACACATCAACTCAACTATCTAAGGTTTCCATTTAGACATCTAATATGCTCTCAAAATTAACACGTCCAATCCCAGCCTTCTTTTTTTTCCCTCAAATCTTTTCTTCCCACAATCTTCCCTATCTAATTCATGGCAACTTCATCCTTTCAGTTGCTCAGGTCAGAAACCTTCAATTCTTCTTCCTTGATTTACCCCCTCTGTCTCACAAATCCCATATCCAATCCATCAGCAGATTCTGTCAGCTCTATTTTCAGAAAATATTCAGACTCCAATCCTTAATACAACCACTTGTTGCCAATTCCACTGCTACTAGCCTACCTCAAGCCATAAGCTGGATATTACAATAGCCTTGCTTTTTTCTTTACCTCTCTTCATAATTCATGCATTCCCTACCCAAAAGGGTCTTTCTTTTGTATGTAAATCACATCAAGTCATTCCTCTGCTCAAGCTCTCCACCATGGCTCTCCATCTCACTCTAAGTAAGACCTGGAGACCTAGAGACCTTACCATGATCAGTAGAGACCATCCTGGCCTCCCCTTCCCCGCTCTCTGAATACCAGCTGCCCTGGACTCTGCTTTTCATCACACAGAGCAAACCTGCTCCTGGTTGCTTATGGGCCTTGGCATTTGCTGTTCTTCTGCTTGACAGCTCCTTCCCAGGCATACCTGGTAAAGTGGAATGCTCCTACCATTTTGCTAAGATGTCACCCTCCCTCCATGAACCCTTTCCTGGCTACTCCAGCTATAACTGTAATTCACTAATTCACTCTCCCTGACTCACATTCCCAACCTGTCTGCCCCTATTCCTTTTTTTTTTTTAACTTTGCTAGACTTTGCTTTTCAGCTAATAACCCCTGGTAGTTTTCATGTTTTGGTTGTCTATTTTTTAATTACCTGCCTCTCTTGAATGTAAACTCTTCTGGAACATAATGAGCAGGGATTGTTGCCTGTTACACTAGCTTGCTGTGCCTTCAGAACCAAGAGCAGAGTCTTGCCTTAGTGGGTATTCAATAATTATTTGTCAAATAATTGAGAACGAAGAAGGAATAGTTTTTGTATGCCAGGAATAGATATTAAATAACCTATTAAGTACAATGAAAGCCCTAAGGCTGCTGGCTCTTAAGTGGAGCAACTTTAAATTTTAAAAATGTGATTATGAAACAAAATTTGTTATAGCCTACGTAATGGTTGGTCCTGTAGCATACAATAGCCTATGTGTTATACATACACACATACACCTACGCACACACACACACACACACACACACACACACATGTAAGTACAACCTGCTAGACACATTCCTTTTACCATGCCTCATTAAATTTAGTTTATATATCACACTAGAATTTAAACTTTAGCAATCTTCTTTCTTTACCATTCTAAATCAACCATCTGAGGAATTATTTCTTTTAATATTCTTCCACTATATACTTTTGCTATTTTCTTTGTCTTATTTGCAGTACGTGAAATAAACAAAAGGTTTACATTTTAAATGCTTAAAATAAAAAAGCTACCTATCTCTGTGGTCTCTAAGGAAAGACAAATTAATTTTAGAAATTGTGTTATATGTATTTTGCATTTGTACATTAAAATAGATTACTTTTTCTTTTCGAAGTTCTCCCTTCTGTATTTTTCTCCAATTCCAATGATAGTGATATCTACCTTTTCCTTCCATATTGCTTACACAACTGTCTGTTCCTCCAGAAAAGGCTTGCCTGGGTCTCACCACATGTTTTGTCCTGAGCTACAAGCACAGGCTCTCTATGTGAAGGTTGAAAACATTAGCCCTCAGGAATAAAATGAAAAGAACGTTGTCAAACATCTTGAATTTTATGGAAAAATACAACCTCTTTTGATATTTCATACATAGATATATCAACAATATAAACCAACATTAGAAGTCAATGTTAGAGTTGTTGACAATTGAATGTCCACAAGGACTTGCACTGGAGTGGTCACTCGAGAGGTTTTATAACACTCCATAGGAAATATTGATCTTGCTCTTAAAAGATTTCAACATAAAAAATATGCAAGAAAATGCAGTCACTTAGTATAGCCACCTGTCTCTATGCTGTAGACAACATACACACACGCCTTCTGCAATACTCAAGGATCCTTGAAATTAAGGTGAAAAAATTGGCCCCACTCCCTTTTATTAATATGATTCTTTGCTACCTTTTTGTGTCAGCTTGCCAGTAGGATGAACCAGAAAAGAATAGGCTGCCACCCCAAGAGTGCAACCTCACAGACAAAGGAAAAAATAAAGAAAGAAAATAATACCAAAAGAAAAGAACGTGATGAAAAGTAAAACTGCATACCACTAAGAGAAGAAAATAATTTTATTAATACTTTGATAATTTTATTTCACCTACCTATGAAAAGGTTTGCTAAACATATTGGTAAAAAGTACACAGATTAAGAAATGTAGCTCATTTTGGTATGATATTTATACTACATATCTCCTCATGCTTCCAAAACAGATCATTCTTGAAAATCAGCACCATTTGTAAATAAATTGTGTGTGTGTGTGTGTGTGTGTGCCTACCATTTCCCCTAAGTCGTTGGTTCCAAGAGGCCCAGGACCTTCTGTTTTATTCATCAGTATCATCAGTGTATTCTGATTGCCAAACACAGTGCCTGGCCCAGAGTAAATTCTCAATAAATATTCAGGCAACGAGTAAAATAAATGACCCTTTTAAATATCTATGGTAAGCATATTTTAAATCTATAGCAGTCATCAATAAATTCTTATTAAATTGCATTAAGGGGAGAATAATTAAAAGTCATTTGTAATTATCATTTCAGGCAAGTGTTTAATTTGACATTATATTGTTGAACACCGTGATTCAAACTAACAGATGTGTAGCTTATCTGATAAAATGTTTACAGCACTTACCCCAGCTTACTCATTCTTGGGCTTCTTTCTAAGGTCCTTTTATCACCCTTCTTCATTAGTCCTGCTAATTTTTCTTTCTGATCTCCCCCTGAAGGGTTCATACGTCTCCTAACTTGTCTTCTTTCACTCTTCTGCCTGGGAAGCTGCATAAAAAAATAGAGATCAACACAGGATTTAAAGGCAGCCTGCTTGAAGTCAAATCCCAGGTTTGAAACTTTCTGGTTCTGATCTGGGGCCTCATTTTCCTCCACCATAAAATGGGTTATCCATGTAATGGAGATGATTAATAGCACCTACCTTAAGTGATTGTTGTGAAGATTGAATGAAGTAATACCTGTAAAGTGCTTTGCATAGTGCCTGATGTGTAGTGGTAAAGAAATGTTAGGTATTTATCGACAACCACTTCCTCCACAATTTAATTCCCACACTATCATCCATCATTTTTGTCAATATCAACATAACCAGACTTCCCTGTCCTCTCTCTGAAGCACCAGCCTAAATATACAACTGAGACTGGGTCTACTCAAGTTCAGCACATTAAAATCTCAACTATTTTTGCCCAAATCTATTCATTTTAAATTGCATTGCTTTTCTCCCAACCAGCCCACCTGGAAACTTTATCTGCTATATTCTTCTCACTGATGTAGCCAGCATATAATAATATGTACCAAATCAATAAGCACATCCTGAATCAATGGTCTCTCTGTCACTTTCTTTCTTCAATCAGTCTGAGCCCCACTGTTATGGTCATCCTTCTAAGGCTTAATTCTGATTAAATTCTTTCCTACTCATTCATCTACAAAGCATCTGAATCTCAGTCCAACCTTCTCCTAGCCTTTATCTTTATGGCTTTATGCTTCAGTAGAACTTTTAAAAGTGCAAAAGGTAACCAAACTGGATTAATTACAGCTTCTCTGATAGGTTCTCTTTCTGTCATCATCATGTTTCCTGCTCCTAAATATCTTTCTCTATGGCCAAATTGTTCCCCATCATTTAAGGCCCATCTCATACATGCCCTCCTTCATAAACTTTCTTTGATTCTACCAGCAGGTTGCATTCCTTCTTGCCTCCAAAGTCTTAAAGCCCTTTGAATTTCTGATGAATTTCTCATATGCTACCACCTAGCATGGTTATTTGTCTAAACATTAAATCATCATCGCCAGATTGCAAAAACCACATAATGTAAAGGACAGAGTCACATTTAGTACATACTTAAGAAAGTCTTTCAAATTCTCTGAGCCTCAATGTCCTCATCTGCATAATGGGGAAATGACATAAATACTCATCTTTGCATAATAAGAGAAATATTTCCCCATTATAAGTGGTAAATTATCACAGGTCAAAATATTTGAACCCTAAAAAGGATGAAAGGAAGTGGAAAAAAGTATTACTAGTGATTATTATTAGGTGGAAGAACTGGCATGTTTTTATTTTGTTTTATATTTGTTTATCTTCTAATGTCTTTACAACTAGGTAGCTTGTATTCATGTTACCAACAAGTCATTTAAGCATTAATAGAACTTCAGAAAATAATTGATGTGATGATACAAGACAGATTATGCAAAAGGTACTATATAAAAGAAAATATTTTTTAATTGCCAGGGTAATATGTGGCCTTTAGTATCATAAAAAGTAAGGTGGGGGAGAGAAAAGAAAAAGAAAGAAAGGAAGGAAGGAAGGAAGGAAGGAAGGGAGAGGAAAGATATTTCTGCCTTCAAAATGTTTCAAATTTTGGTCACAATGTGACCAGGAAAGGCTTAAGTAGAATAAAGAAACTTAAAAATCACTGACCAAAAATATTTGCTGTAAAAAGTGGTTAAGGTACTGACATAGCTCCTTAATTTCATATTTTTAAAGCCTGACATCTTGTCTACCTTGAGGAGAAAGCAGCACAAACACAAAGAGCACTGTATCAAGTCCATGATCAAGAATTTATGTCAAATCAAAGAATCCACTTCAAGAAACATTTGAAAGACCAGGGATTTAGCTCACCTGCCTTGCAGGGAAAGGTCCTGAGTTCAATCCCCAGTAGTGGAAAAAGAAAAAAATTTGAAGCATCTAGAGTCAACACCTTTTATTTTGGAAACTTTATTTATTTATTTATTTATTTATTTTTTTGTACCGGGGATTGAACTTGGGTCCTTGCACTTGCAAGGCAGGCCACTGAACCACTGAGCTAAATCCCCAGGAGTTGGAAACTTTTTAAAACTCTAAACTCAATGCGTCCAAAGTTAAATTTATCTTCTGTTCAAAGCCCATTTCCTTTCCAGGGCTCAAAAGTATAACTTTGAAATCGAGGAGACCACAGATTCACTATCAACTATGCCATTTACTGCAGAGTAATTTTGGAAAGTTATTTAATAACTGACCTTCATTTTTCTTTTTTGTAAAAAGAAGGTAATTGTATTTATCCTACAGGGTTATTTAAATAAATATATTTTTAACATAATGTGTTCAAATACAATAGCAATTGGTACCAATAAGGACTCAAAAATGTTAATTATATTGTAGCAAATAATCATAATCTGTCCTATCTCTCAAATTAGAGGCAACAGAGACACTATAGCCACTGACTACCTAATCCTGCCAGTTCTGCCCCTGAAATTTCTCAGGGGTGCAAAAGCTACCTACTCCCATGTCTACTGTCATACACCGACTGCAATGTTTCTCACCTCTTGCTCATCAGTGAATGCCCAAATTAGGAATAATTCTGAATTCCTGTTTCTACCACTCAACTCTAATTTCTCCACTAGTTTTCCCACGCTGGCCAAGTTCCCAGGGATAAAACATGGCTGGGCCATTCCCCTCCTTAAAGATGTTTTGGCCCCTGGTATGCAGGACCAAATTCAAGCTTAATAAAAGTGCTAAAATAACCTGTTTTACAATCCCTCTGTATTCGTATATCTTTCCAGTTTTACTTTATGTCAGTCTCTGAAGTCTCATACACATTCACCCTAAACTGGGTCTGGGCTAATCATTGTCTAAAATTACATTTTCTCTCTATCCAGTACCATTCTTCCTTATTCAACAAGCTCCTGTTGACCTTTCAGGAACTCACTCCAAACACCACCTTTTCTATGAAGTGCTTCTTGAGATACTTTTTCTTCCTTTGTACCATGAGAGCATTTTCACCCCTATTATTATATTACACTCTAATTTTCTGTTTTCCATGTCTCTGCTCCGTAGAATTACTTGAGAAAGAAGTTCTATATATTATCACGCACTGGTTGGGCAAGAGGTACTTTTGAATAAATACATTTTGGTTAAAATGGGTTTTAAGGCTTTACTAACACTGGAAACTCAGGCCTGCAAATATGATTCAGTTGAAACTATTTCACCAGCAAATGTTCTGTTCCCAACTGAAATGAACCCCAATTTTTGTGGCACACTCTGCTTTCAAGTGAAAATATGGTAATGTTCCAAGTGCTGACGCCATTAGCAAAAGAAAAAAAAATGTTTGCCTCTCTTAGTCTTCCTATTTCCTCCCATAAAGCTGAAGATAATTCCTTAAGGAGGAAAAGCTCTTGTAAAAAATGGAAAGTCTTTTATTCCTACATATTTTAAGTGCTTACTGCAATGCTAAGCCCTGTAATACATTAGCTCTCCTTCTACTAATGTTTCTACAGACTTGGTACAATTATGTTTATTTTGCAAATGAAGAAATTGAGCCTCAGAAAAAAAGTGCTCCACAAGGGAAATAGCACAAAGAAACAACAACTGGGATCTCATCTTATTAAAAAGCTTCTGCACTGCAAAAGAAACCATCAACAGAAAAAAAAAAAAAAGACAACCTACTATATGGGAAAAAATTTTTATAAGTTGCTCCTCAGAAAAAGGACTATTATCTAGAATACAAAAAGAACTCGAAAAAATCAGCCCCCCCCCCAAAATAAAGACCTAATTCAAAAATGGGCATCTGATGGCCAGGGATTTAGCTCAGCGGTTTGGTGGCCTGCCTTGCAAGTGCAGTTCAATCCCCGGTAAAAAAAAAAAAAAAAAAAAAACAAAGAAGTAAAATATATGAAAAAATGTTCCACATCACTGGTCTTTCAAGAGATGCAGATGAAAACAACACTGAGATTCCACCTCACCCCACAAAGAATGGCTGCTATCAAGAAATCAACCAATAACAAATTTTGGCAGGGTTGTGGGGAGAAAGGAACCCTTCTTCATTGCTGGTGGGAGTGCAGACTGGTGCAACCACTGTGGAAATCAATGTGGAGATACCTCAAAGAACTAGGATTAGAGGTTCCACTTGACCCAGGTATCCCTCTCCTGGGTATCTTTCCAAAAGAATTAAAAGAATCATATCACAGTGATATATGTGCACCCATCTTTATAGCGGCACAGTTTATAATAGCTAAAACTTGGAAACAGCCCAATTGCCCATCAGTTGGAGACTGGATAAAGAAGATGTGGTTTTTCTATGAAATACAATACTACTCAGCCATAAAGAATGAGAAATTAGAGCCATTCATAGGAAAATGAATGCATATTGAGGATATACTCTTAAGTGAAATAAATAAGTCACACGTATAAATACCGAATAGTTTCTCTGGTGTGAAAAACTATAACCATAAATAAGATCCTAATGGTATAATGACAATGTGAAATAGGAAGAAAAGGGCTAAAGGTGTAGGGGAAGTGGGAAGGATAAGGGAAAGGTAATAAGGGAAAAGAAAAAATATGAGAAAATAAAAAATGGAAATAAAGTTTTTGTAAATAGGGAAGGGAGGAGGGGGTGAAGGGAGGGCAGGAATAAGGGGAAAAAATGAGAACCAAGACCTGCCATTTAAAGGCACAAGATCCCAATAATAAATGTAACTGTACTGTATACCTAAAATGTACCAATATACTCAAGGAGGAAAAAAAAAGAAATAAAGAAAGTGCTCCAAGTCCCATCACTTATAGATGACTGGGCACAGCCTTGAACTCTTTCTGTGAGAATTCAAGACTTGTACTGTGCTGTTATGCTAGGCTGTCCCAATAGGCGACTAAGTCAACAACGCTCATGCCTACTACCCACTGTCAGCAATTCTGAATGGAAGTTAGGAAGAAAACAGAAGCAGAAAAAACAGAGATACAGTAATGTGAAAAAGGAGAGTGAAGGCTGCTAAAAAGAGAGAAGGCATCATCTCTCTGGAAATGTATTTAAGATATTTTTTAAATACAATGAGGTATCTTTCTGTCAAGTGTCAATCTAAAATGAGTGAAACTATTGAAAAATAATCAATGAAACTTAAAATCAAAATGTTATCTTTTTGTTAAAGAACAATGAAAACAAATAAGCTTATTTTATTAATCCACAAACCTAATAACTCTTAACAAATCTCTGTAAACTTTAATTGCCGTAATCTGGACAGTGTTTCACTATAACTCATTTACTTGAGTTGAGCTACAAAGTTTGTGCAATATATTGTGCCCTGCTTTATGAGATTGTAATTGCAGGGAAATGCTACTCTACCTGCTCAATTAAAATACACTAAACTTATGAAAATAAAGTGTTTGGGGGAATAGCATGCTCTGTACTTATTTATTTTACTTCATAAATCCTGCAATTAAATGGAATAAAATCCACAAATTGGTTTCTCTAGTTGAGCTTCTCCATTTCTTTTCCTTATTGCACATTTTCTGCCCAATATAGTTGCCTTTTTCTTTTCTAGAATATGCTTACCAGAGTTAAATCCTAACATATAAAATGTTCTCTACAAGCATTTTCATAACTATTTGTCAAGAATAAGAGTATGAAAAGATCTGCACCATATTCTGCAAAGGACACCCTGTCCAGTGATGACCACAAATCTCACCTAAGTTGACCATTTTCTTCTTTTTTCCTCTTTAAGCTTTGCTGTTGATATTACTTCCAACTCTTTCAATCACTCCCTTTTTCTTTCATCTTTTTTCTTCTGAAAAAACATTCCGGAGTTTGCTGATATTGACAGGTCCATAATTCCTTAGCCATAATTCCTTTCAGGATCACAGATATTGCAGAACACTAGAGGCTTTTAAAAAATAGAATACATTGAGAATACTATTCCCCATGTTATATAAAATCTTCCCTGGAGTCTGAAGAAAGACCCTATAGTTGAATACATCCATAGATCTGAAGAATTTGAATGAGGTTTTCATAAAATACTAAAAGACTACAAGTGGACTCACATGATTTCAGTTCAAATTGTGCAACCAAATATGTTTTTTAAAGCCTTTTCATTTTTAGAGCTCTTAATCAGAATTGCTAATGAGAGATTGCGATCTGTATATACACTGACTTTAAGACTTAGGGAAAGAAGATTGGTAAAAGGGAACCTGTTAGTGCTTCGTCATTTTGTAGCACAACCTAAGGTTTGTCTGAGTCCTGCATGAACAAGTTAACATGGTAGATGACTAAAAATCATAAAAATATAGTTCTAACAACACCAGAAAAAGATATGGAAGAGTTTCTCTAGATACTAAAGCAGTATTTGGTAGAATTTAATAAAGCATGTGAATAAGCATGGCAATCACTTGATTTCAAATGTTTTTGTTATTTTTCTCATTAATTTTATTCTTAGTTTGGAAAGAAAATCTGACCCTGGCTTCACATGTGAGTTTGATTGGACACGTGTTCTCAGGAAGCAAGCTGCATACCAGTAGTAGTATGCTATCATACACGAAATTAGACAAAGGGATCAAAATAAGCTAAAGAATTGATATTCTATACCACTACCCTTTCCTTTAGAATATGTGGATATATTATAAAAATCAAAGACAGATCCAATTGATTTCACATAATAGGCTATTTCAAAGTAACAAATTAGCTGAACTAATGCTTTCTCGTGGAATAAATAATTCTGAAAGAACATAGATCTTTATTCCTAAATCCTCCTCCTCCCTTCTCAATTAATTAGACTTTGTTGGTAAAAGGAAGTTAAGAAATTCAGCATAAGCCTGATTATATCATGAATGTAAAATGAGCAGGGCAAATAATGGACTCTATATTCCTTCAAACAAGTTAAATAAGTCCATAATAGCCCACCAGTTGTGTAAACACTGTTTCACTATGCTTGTAAAAGAAATATTGACTTACCTTTTAACTAAAATTATCCTGGCATGCGTCAACTAAGCTTATTAGTAATTCTTGTGGTGTATGTGAAATTTTTTTAGCTTGGACTTCTATCAAAGATAAAAGAATTAGGAAAACATTCATTTAGCAAGCCCAGAAAGTTGACACATATTATATTTTAACAAAATCAATTTTAGGTACTTTCAATCTAAGTGCTGAAAATGTAAAGAGTGATTTCCATCCTTGATGATCTATTCCATTATTCAGCAGCTTATTAACTCTGAAAACCCTTCCAAAATCATAAATAGGAACATCAAACGCAAATACTGAATGAATTTAACTTTACTAATCACTTTACTGACCTTGTTATTACATATAGGTGGAGGTGATGTTTTCCTTTGACATCTCACCATTATATGTACCTATGAGTTGACTGGTTGCTGAGAGAAACCTGACACACACATATATATTTTTTTTTCCATGCTAAAAAGCCACCACTCTCTACTCTAACTGATTCTATTGCAATTCAAAAATGTCTCACTTTTCTTTACAAATATAGGTGAATGCCTTTCTCAATAAAATGACAGTAAACCCAAGGTTCTATCCAGTTTGTCTCTGTGAGGTAAAAATTCCCAAGAAATTAGGAAAAGGGAACAACATTAAGGTCAAAAGACTCAGGTTAGGATTTTGGCTCCATCACCAACCTGTTGGCCACCATTAGGAAATCAACTTGCATTTCCCATCCTTAAATATTGGAATAAGAATCTTACCCACCTTTCTGAGGACCCAGGGAGAGCATATGACTGTAAAGGGTGGTGGTCAGTGGCGATAGTCATTATCAGGTAATTCGAAAGTTAGAGGGTATTTTCTACAAAACGAAGTGACTATTACTCAACAGCCTTACTGAAATTTTTTAGTGTACAAGAAACGTGATTTGCTATAGTTTTGCCTTTTAAACTAAGAGTAAGTGGTTAAAATGTATCCATTCAGGCAATAAAATCACCATCAGTCACATTCTTCTCATTTTCAGTCTGCATGATTTTCTGTGACTCGGTCTACAATACCTTGAAGATTCATAAGGCCTTTCTCAAACCTTCATATTTTCCGTGCTTTCTGATTTTTACTAAGTATTTTCTTTCTTCTTCTTCTTTTTTTTTTTTTTTTTTTTTTTATTTTTTTTTTTTTTTTTTTTTTTTTTTCAGTGATACCAGGGATCAAACTTGAGTCCTTGTGCTTGCAAGGAAGACAACGGAACCACTGAGCCAAATCCCTGGCTTTACTAAGTATTTTCAATTTTAAGTGATCATGGATGAATTTTCACTCACTAACTCAAAAATAAAAAACTAGATTTCATGTATTCATCCAATTGGGAGGTTACAGAGCAGAAGTAGCTTTAGATCCAAGGGTGTAGAGGATGATTAGGACTTTGCATTTGTCCTTTTTCATGCTAATATTCCATTCCCAATGAACTTTCTCCCTAAGACACAAAGCAATCCCCATGAGCTCCAGGTTTTTGTCCTTAATGCTCATGAAACCAGAGGAAATAACCCTCTCACTCCAAGATCCATGACAATCCCCCAAACAAATATGGACTGTTCAGTTAGAGTCCCATTCTTACTCCAGAACAGTCAAGTGGGGCCACATGATTGACAGCCTGAGGCTCAAGAGGCAGTTTCCTAGAGGAAAACTGTGAAAGGCTCTCACCAAAAAGAAAGGAGAGAAATGTTGTTTATGCAAAAGGAAAAAAAAAGTAACAGATGTTTGTTACCCTTGGCCTGATCCAAGATATCTGTCTTCCCCCATTCAATTGAATCAGAAATCTCTCTGCTCTATCTTTATTTCATAATAAGCTTCAAATCTTCACAAGAAGAGGAAACATGCTACCAGGTTAAAATCTGCTTTGCTCTAGGCCAAGTTCCAGGTATTTGAACATTTAGAAGAACCTAGGTAAATAATACTCCCTTTACAGAGAGGGTAACCGAGACTGAGATAGCCTCACTCTGTGCCTGTGATCAATTGATCAGCTTGAAACTGGAAGACCCAAGATCAAGATACACTTCTGCCTCTATTCATTCCACAAGCAAAGCACTATGCTCCATTGAGCAACCCTGACATCAAAGAGTGTTGTTCAATACGTTTTTTTGTTGTTGTTGTATTTTTGCATGCCTGTTTCTGTGAAACTGGAGATGGAATCCAGGGAGTCCTAAGCTAAATCTTCCACTCTTTTTAATCTTATTTTGAGATAGGATCTCACTAAGTTGCCTAGACTGGCCTCAAACTTGCATTCTTTCTGCCTCAGCCTCCCAAGCAGGTGACATTACAAAAGTACATCACCACTTCCCTCTTTTACAATGTTCTTAAAAGGCCAGTGGGCACAGTCATATCTGTTGATGAATCAATCAGTCAACAAGTATTTGTTAAGTACTCACTATTATAAGTCTGTACTTTGAATCCTACGGGTAAAAAGAGTTAAGAGGCCTAGTTCCTTTATCCAAAAGGTAGCAAAACAAAACAAGTATGTGTTCAGGAAGAGTCCAGGGCCAAAGGGTGCGGTATTTAGAACATACCTTGAGTGAGAATCATCTTGGGATTCCTGTTCAGTGTGCCAACCCCCATAAGGTGATGTATTTACCCCTCCAGGGCATTCTAGTTGTGGTTCTATAAGAATCATAGACAGGATACGTTCCAAGTTCCATTTACAACGTGAATAATCTAGGGATAAGATTTTTTTTTAATGGTAAGAAGATAGGCAATTAGGAGGCACTCTACAAATATGGAAAAAATAGCTTACAGAAGCATGACTAATATGAGACTAAGCAAATGGTAGGAGTGGACCCCGTGGTACTGTCAAGTTTTTCCAAACCATGGGCTACAGTTCCTTTCTTTGCAAAAGGAGGGCATAGTCTATAATTCTTTACCACTTTCTCACTTCCCCTCTACTTCAGAGAATCACAACTGGCTGCTGTTTCGACTCACCAAAGAGAAGAACATGTTCAGAATAGATTTAGAATACAAACGCACACGCGTGTGCAAAGGAATAGGCAGATTCGGAGATTACCCCACAAATGAAGGAGATGGATACACAGCACACACAAAGAAAAATCCTCCCAGCTTAAAATTCAGACACTTGAGTGGATAGGCTGAGAGAACGATTAACGAGGACCTTGAGAGTCAAAGTGAGATCTGCCTTAATGAAGCAAAGAGGCATTGCTCTCGCGAGAGAAAATTGTGCATTTTTGCGACTTGGTGTGGCAGGCTTGGGCTGACAGCTCTTTTCGGGGCTCCCTTTTCGGGGGTGTGGAGAGGGCAACTCTTACCTCGCTGAGGTATTCTCCCCCAAGAAACCCCTGAATTCTTTTCCCCTTTCCTCCCGAAGATTCACTGCAGGACAGCCTTTGGAGTGTATTTTCCACAGCGCTCCCCGAGGTGCCAGCAGCCCGGCCGAGGCTCACCTGGCTGGGACTGCTCTTTGTTCGGAAACTATGCCAGGGCTCTTAGGATGAAAAGTCCTCCCAATAACTCAACAGGCAGCTGTCTGTCCTGCAACGTTTTGCTAAAGACGACTTCCCTAGGATTCTAACACTTTTTAAGAAATCACTTCATTTCCTCACCGCTGAGAGTTAGGAAGGCAGCAAAGGAGTGGAGTGCTCGGCGCCTAGCAGTGTAAGATCAAAAAGGCCACCACCCACCTTCGCGGAGAACACCTGCTTTTTACACTGATAGCTGGTTTTCTGGATTAGACTTTAGTGCCCCCCCCATGCATCCTTTTTGCATTATCTGGAGAGGGCTCCGAAGAGTGTGCCTTGTCCCTCTCTCCCTTAGCCTGGTCTACCCAGGTTCCAGGTTGCTCTTGAAACGGGTCCTTCTCAGCTCTCGGGTCTTGGTCACTAGGACTCAGGACCTGATGAGAGTAGGGAGTCCCAGCCAGGCGCGTGGCGCTGTACGCAGGAATCTTCCCCGCGGAGCCTCAGTGGGAGCTCGGTTAAGTCGCCTGCCCCTCACGCCGCCTGCTGCCTCCCAGCCGGGTCTCTGGAAAGGAGGGTGGGGACGGGAGGAGCGAAAGTGGGGATGAGGTGGGGGTGCCTGGGAAGCTGGGCTGCGCTGACGTCACTGGGCGCGCAATTCGGGCCCGAGCGCTTTTAAAAAACGAGCGTGCGAGCGGAGATGCTGCTCCACACCGCTCAAACCGCCGGCAGCAGCAGCGCGCATCGCCACAGCCGCGGCTGCAGCGGAGGCTGCCCCGGAGGG